CATCATCTGTAGCGCTTTCGCCAGGGGCGAGCACTACAGGTATCGTCCGCATTGCAGGTACACGAGAGCCATCTCGTTGAGCACGTAGACGAGCGCGATAAATGTCGAAAGGAATTTCTTGCAAGAAACGAGCTCGAAGAGCTTTCCGTTCGGCAAGCCCAGCTTCCATCATGACCGGAAGCCCGATGATGTGGACGCATAACGATCGAGTTACCGCGTCCTTCGCTTCCACAGCGGTATCCACCGGGCGGAAGGCATATTCCACACGAGGGTCAATGACTGACCATGGATGGGCGCGCATCAGAGCCGCCTTACGGGCAGCTTCCAGCTGCCGCCTCTGTACCTTTTTCGAGGTCATTGGTGATGACACCACATTTCTCAGGAGATGAGAGGTCAGGAAACGGACATGGGGTCCGCAAGGCGCGAGCAGGGCTCGTCTTACGCCGCTGGCGCGGCTCGCCTTCTTTGTCATTCCGTCCGGGAAAGGGAGTGTCAGGCTCGTAGTCGACCACCTCCACATCCCCAACGAGGTCACTCGTCACTGATAGCGTGCGCGAAGCGCGTCGCTCGGGCTCATCGAGCCTAGGATTTACATTCCTCGATGCCCCGGACACACGGTCCGACATGGCACCGCGCGCGGAAGACGAAGTAGGGCTCTGCCTGTGAGCGCTGTCGGAACCAGCGAGACTTGGAGACTTCGGTGTCATTGACAAAGGGCTCATTGAGCACGGAGGTCGTTTCGTTTCAACGCAGTGTCTAACGGACACGCAAGCCTCGCTGAGGCAATAATCGATTGGGACTGTAAATGTTCTCAATCTTAATGGAGGAGAGTATAACGGGGTTACACATACCCTGGTAAGCGGGTTGTGTGTCACACGAGATGGGCATTGTGTGACTACATCCAAACAAGAGTACGGAACGGGGCTGGATAGCCAGTAGTTATTCATGTATTAGATTTTACTATACATATTTAGGAAAATCTATGCATTTAAAATAAGGCGGCTTTGCTGCAGATAAATATAAATGAATCAATTTTTTAATACATACGGAAGAGTTAATTAGCCCTGGGTTAAGGTTGTAACTACTCTTGGAGTAAGCGGATTGCAATCCAGAACGAAAGGTCGGTGATCTAACTTACGCTTCCTCTAAACGCAAAGCTACGACAGCCCCGCTGCTGTTGTGATTAGACTGGTTAAATAACTTGAAAAGCGGCGAAGCCGTCTTAAATCTGCTTCGTCGCAGTGGGTTTGGGCATGAATAGTAGCGATTCGTGCTATAAGTCGTTCATGGAATTTTGCACGAACAAGGCCGAACTTAGCAAATCCACTTTGTCCGAGAACGTACCAACGCCAGCAGGCAACACGATTGGCCACGACAGTAATTAATTTAGCTTGATGATCGCTGCGTACAAGACGGCTCTTGCCGACTATAACGAGAAAAATCCGAATGCAGCTAAGACTGCCCGCTGTTCTTAGGGCTGTCTCTGGCAGGTTCGGGTAATACAGAAACAGCCACACGACCTGAAAGCGAGCAAATTCAATCCTTGATACGACCAGGAAAATCTTTGGACGAGATCATTGGCTCACTTGAATCCAATATCCAACCTCGGCCATTTCTTGATAAGTGTATTGAG